CGACTCACAATTGAGTTGATTCTCATTTACCTCAGTTAAGCCGTTTTTGTTAACTTATTCAGTGGACAAAGTCATCCATACTATAACAACTTGTTGTACTCTTATTATTATTGTACGTGTATAAAATATATGTGAATGAACATGTTTACACCCTACGCATATATTCATTCTGCCAACTTCATTATTAGCTGCTTAATCTAATCGTTGACTCATCCATTTCCCTGTATATATGTACATTTACTCTGTACACACACTATTAGATTATTGTTCATTAGATTACCAAATCTTGTCTAAGTTTTCTTAACCTTTATATCTAATGAACGTCGGAAACGAGTTTACGAATAAATGAGCTACAATGGCTTATCAATGATTAATCTATAAGGCATATCTAAGTTCGTTAGATATTAATGGGAAGAAATTGAGAAGACATTATGGAAATCAAATTGTGGGTGGCCCTGAAAAGGGGTTGTACTCGTTCCCGTTTTAGTTTGTAGTGGCGCCACACATAGGACAGTGCACTGCTCGTACGTCCGGTGATGGGTCGTAGGCACAGAACCTATGAAACATTGCTTCACAACGACAGAAAACCCAACCAACTGCATCACCAGTTTCACATAGAGGTTGTGCACGATTACATATATCACACAAACAGTTCTCTTCATCATCTTCATATTGGAAGTCCCGTTCCATGAACTCTTCGGAGTTAATAGAAACTACTTCCCCCCTCATCGTTACTGAACGTTGTGGCTCCTGATCAATGTTTCCTTTTAGCCGACACCGATGTATATTTCTGTAGTCTCGCTTCCATCCAATATCCAGTGCGAAGTAGCACACTGAAAATGGATCTCAACACCGGTGTTTTTCGATTCAGCTTATGCATCTTCAAAATTCGATGACTCGTCTCCACGAAGTTGGTATTATTTTGTTCAAGCAGCGTTGATGATGGTCGAAAAGCAGTAGACCATTTGTGTATTTTCGGTAGTAGGTGGTCTCTCACATATCTGGCAAACGTTCCATCGGAATTTTCGATTAACGATAGTACATTGTTAAAACTACAAAATAATGTTATGCACCTTTTGATTTACCTTTCAACCGTTCAAGTGAACATCAGGCGAAAAAGTAGTTGTATAATTTCCGATCGTACCCTCTACATTTACGGTTAATGGGTTAGTGTTAATGAACGATACACTTACCCTCTTTATCACATTGCGAACAAGGTGTACACGACACAAAATATGGTGGGCATTTGGATAGACCTGCGTGATGGCAGCAGCTATTGCAGGTGAATCATCGGTCACAATGCCTATCACCTGTCGACTGTTCGTAGACCGTTGAAAAAGAAGAGAAATCGAGAAATCAAGGCCGACGTTTCGCGACTTAAAAATGCAATGCAAACGGGTATTGCCTTAAAATTCATATCAAGGGCTACGACCTGATATAAATAGACGTTCTCGTTATTCGTCTTGTACGTCCCGTCAAAACCAATAACATCACAGAAACGACCTGTCAAATTCATTTGCTCAGCAGTCATGAAGAAAAAATACGATAGACAGTTTGGGATGCGTTTCTCTCCCCTGATCCCAAATAGGTTGATGAGGTAGTAAATCTTCATTACCTGGAGTGCTTGGGATATGTGTTACGTATACCAAACCAACGCCCATCTTGATGGGCTATGTTTGTTGGTGCAGGAGTAGGCTGGAAGAAAGCTATGGAGGGATCAGAAGTTCAGGAATCGACATCTGAATAATGTACATTATTTTCTATGTATATAGCCAGCAACCACATTGTCTCTCATTGTGCTCTTTCCTAACTTGTACAGTAAAAGGTCATGAACTTTTCACAAACACAACTGAATAGGTTGTGCAATTAATTGACATAATGATCTGTTGAAACAAACAAAAGACATAACTTGTTGAAATATCTAGATGGCAGGAACAGGTAGCCCAGATATTCAAGCAGGCCATTGCTCGAAATCGTTTGCAATAGCTCAGGTCCATCGATTCCTTGTCTTCCTCCAAATCGTGTGATTATGAATTCCTCATAATATTTGTTTTTATTTCGCTAATTTACATATTTTCGAGTCATATCTTCGATGCCTAATCTTTCCTATTATCACTTATACTGCTACTAACTCTACTATTCTGGGATTTGGCCCGTCTCAGTGTGCTAATGAGATATGGTAACCGATGTACATACGCAGAGGTTCTACGTTGTGACTGACTAAAGGAATTACCCAATAAATGCGAGGGAACAATAGCTATTAACGTATAGAACTAGTGCTCATTTTTCTTCTCAACTAATCATTTCTCCTGAGTTGGAGATCATCAAACTGGTATGATTCTTGAATATTCTATTATTTATTACCATATATTTACTGACTGTCTTAAGCATTCTAATTCATCACACTTATACTATCCATAAGTCGAAGCCTAACTTTTGCGTACGAAAACAGTATGTTCAGTCCCTCATCCTTCTATGGTCTTAATCTTCCTTTCAATCTCCCATAGTCGCTGGTTTTTTAAAATATTTATTTGTACTCTTTTTGGATTTTTATTGCAACTATTAATGAGCCATTATTACAAATTATTATTCTGTTCCTAACAACTTTCAAGTGGACAATTATCTTCATCTTATCACTTCTCACTAGCTGTTTTTTACATGACTTCCTTTGAGTAACATATTTTCGTAAACATTCTGGGACTAGATACCGCTTCATGTTTTTTTCAAGTATTCAATTCCATTCTATTGTACTAGAGACTACTACTTTTGCGTATAAAATTAACTATAAATGCGACTATACATAATATTTTTAATAGCTAAATTCATAAGTCTATGTTAGCCAGACCACTATTGGAAACCTGGACGGCCGTTTCGTCCTAGTATGGGACTCCTCGCTAGTGCTCAACCACGACCCCGCATACGTGACTCGAACCCCAGGACCTTCGGTCTTACGCGCGAACGCTTAACCTGTAGACCACTAAACTGGCATCCAACAGTGTTATTGTCTAACGTCAGTCGATCCATGGTCTTGTGTAACCATTTATCCATCGTCTGAGGTAGATAACTGTCTCTACCCAACACATATTTGACTCCATTGGTCACAGCTTCTCATTAGAGTTCCAGGAAATCCATCTTAAAGCCAGTCACTAGTGAGCACATGATTACTATTATCATTAGAATGGGCGACATCTATGTCAAAAAGACGTCAATGTTTTGGATGGAAGGCCATCTAATATTACCTACCAAATTCCTTATTATACTTACTGTGGTTTACATATTTGTGTCAGTTTGATTGAACGCAGGTCTGCACCCATATCTTCATTTATCCTCTCATTGATTACAAACTCAAACAATCATTAACTTTACTCACGTATCGATTAACACCCATAAAACTCTTTTTTACTCACTCGCTTTGCGGTGTGCTTGCTATCGCGCTCTCGTGGATTTTATTAATTATTAACGATACACCATCCCAACGATTCGTGTTCTGGCTTTTAAATACTAACCTGCTTCGGTTTAGGCAGTAAAGTTTAGCCTGCTATAATAATGAAATGTCCTGAGAGTACAACGGTTTGTAAATATTTGTTTTCCTCAGACATCCAACTGAAAAGTTGTCGTACTCGGAAATATCAAAGTAACAAAAGTTTCACGATTGTTATCATGTATTTAACCGCTAGTTAAGATGTTTATTTACAAGCGCCCTGGTACGGCCAAGAGTGGGGAGAGTCCGCTCTCCCTCTCGAAATGCCCTCACACGGCCACGCGTATACAGCCTCTGCCAGGGAAGTCCTACTCATGGCTTTCTGGTGGCGGGGGTGTTTACGAAATCGAGAGGACGAAAAGCAAGTGTCCGGCGTTTTAACCGGGTTGGTGGATATAGAGGATCCACTTAGGGGAGTTGTAAAACTTTGATTCCAAACCAATGGTGCACATGGGCTCCGGGATCCTGAGGAGATAAATGGCTTATGAACTAATTGTTCACTGGCTACCATGGGACTGCATCTCCTTACGTTGCTCTACTGCCTTGTGGATCAGACCTTTAGGTCAAAAGCTCGGAGAGTGGCCCCCTAAGTAAACCACCTGCTTCGGTTTTGACACCCGGGCAGTATCACACCCCTCACATAATTAAAATGAAATGACAATAACTATTAGGTAAACTACTCGCACTCCTATTAAAATTCAAATAACCCATACCCATTTGAAAACATTCACTTTTATTTTTTGTACCACGTCACTTGTCCACCTTCTTCCATTCTCACCTTGTGTATCCTTACCTTTCAACTTGTGTGACGCACATATATCTGGTGCCCCCTTATACCAATATTTGTGTTCAAATAAATAAATAAGGGAACGCTATAGTAACATCTTACAAATGATAAAACTAAAACTTTCCGGTCTTCATATTGTACATATTAACTTTGAACAAATTCGTTAAAAAAAGTTTCCAATTATCAACACTCAAATTACACATCATTGTAAAATATAAACAATAGATCTAATTCCAATGAATTAATTGTATAATAATCCGGTTTATGTATGTTTAAAAGTAGAGGGGGGGTATGTTTTTCACATTTATACTTTTAAAGTAATTTAATACTCTTTTTAATTAAACTTTCTAATATTTCTTCTTATTTACTTTAGAATTCATTCGTTTCTTGTTCACAATATTTACACATATATGTGTAGATATACACAGAATGAATAAATCCAATAATAATGAATACGATGAGTTGACAAAACGTATAGGTTTTACATCAATGATGGAACTTATCTGTATTTGTTTATTTCCATTAATATTACAATGTTTACGATCATTGGTATGTATACATTTTAATATATTATCGAAAAATCGATTTTATTTATCTTTGATTATTGATTATTTCATTATTTTATTACCAATTATTTTATTATTAACTTTATTATCTTCTTATATTATTATAATTGTAATAAGTTGTATTGTCATATTTCTATTATGGTTATTATTACCAAACTATAATCAAATGAATTCTTTTGGAAATTTCCATTTTTTTCCAACGGATATTTTAATTGCCTATTTACGAACCACCATATATATACTTTCTTGTATTATGATTTATGCTATTGATTTACCAATCTGTCCAAGACGTTTTGCTAAATCTGAGTTAAATGGTGTTGGTTTAATGGATGTTGGTACAGGTTTATTTATATGTGCATCTAGTATATCCGGTTCTAAATTAGTTTGGTATATGAATATTTACAGAGGTAATAGTAAAAGGTTTTTAGATTGTACATTGAATTCTGTAGTACCATGTTTACTTTTAGGATTATTACGAACATTATTAATTCAAATGTCAAATTATCATCAGAATATTGTAGAATATGGTGTCCATTGGAACTTTTTTTATACTATTGCATTGATACGTGCCATATCACTTGTTGTGACCACTGAAAATCCTATCAGTAGTTATTTGATAACATTTTCACTGAAAAAACAAATTCTGTTCTATTACGTTGTATCCTCTATATTCTTAATATTCTCTGAATTTTTGCCAATAATAATTTGTCCAGAGTATTTTCAAACAAGATGGCAGTTTAATCCAAGAACACTACACTATATAAATGATAATCGATCAAAATCTTTATGGATTGCTAATTTTGAAGGTGTCACCTCCTTATTTGGTTATGCATCAATTTACTTCTTCAATTTGAGTTCATCACTTATATTTCGATCTTATTTGTCAACAGACACCAATAATGACAGTAATAATGGAGTAAGTTCATTGAACAAGAAGGAATTTCCGCGTAATATTCCGTTATTCAGATTACATTTAATCTGTGCTTTCATGATCCTATGCTCAATAATTTGTTTCCACTCACTAGATGGTAGTCAAATGACATCCAGACGTTTTGGAAATTCTAACTATGTATTACTCATTATATTTCTCTCAGCCATCTGCTTTCTTTTTCTCTCTTCGATGATTTCATTACTGATACACTTTAAATCACTTTTCAACCTAAATTTAAGCTATTCTCCATTATCCTTGATAATTAATGATAAAGGCTTGTTATATTTCATCATTTCGAATTTATTGACTGGTTTCTTCAATGTGTTTTGTTTGAATACTCTACATTTGTTGCCTGAACGGGCAAAGTTAAATGTTATCACGGGTACGTATGATGATTTGAGTTGGGCTTCGTCATTGTTACAATTTTTAGTGCTCTTAACCTATTCGAGTTTATCAGTTATTTTTGTTTTAATTGGTTCCTATTACGATTGTCTTAAATTTCTTACTTCTAGTGTGTTTGGTATTTTTAAATAAATGATTGGTGTGAATCAACGGTTCTTCTAAACACATTCCTTAAGTAATCGACGGCTATACCTAAAAACTTCTGCACACAAGTTCGCATTCGATTTTAGGCAATTTATAGACATTTTAAGTTGACCTAATTTATTTTCGACTGACATTCATACTTAGACCTGTTCAGTTATTGCATCTATAAGTTGTTGATGGTTTTCCTGATGCCTCTTTTTCATAAACCAATCATGTTATGAATGAAGACAGAAGTGCCTATCAACGACATTGGTCTAGATTAAATGAAAACTTCTTTAGGCTTAATAGAACATTAGTTATAATATTTCGTTTTCTCAACCGGATTGTAAGATGATTGACTTTAAGCCCTAAGATGCTATAGACTCAGGAATGATAATCAACTGCTTACTCACCATGAATATGCCTAATTAGGTGGATCAAATGGTATTTATAGACTAGTCAAAACTGTGTAGCACAGTTTTAATTGTTCTCCAGAAGGCGAAACTAGCACAATTCACTTACTTTACTGGGTGTCTATCGTCATACAAATTAACACAGTATTTTCTTCATGCTCAGATCTTTAGAGTAAACATTAATTTCTTCTAGATACATTTCGTAATAGGTGTCAAATGTGCATATAACTTGAGTCAAATAAAATTGCGATAGATTGTCTACAGCTAATTCCCACTTAATAGTTGGTATATTGTATTTTTGGTATTTATCAAAATAAGGTTATGGTTTCCATTACGAACTGAAATCAGCTATAATGCAAGGATCTTAAATTGTATCCTAAGTCATAGTATATTGAACCACTGACCCACCCTTCCTGTCTCTTGATTAACTAGAGCGATTAAGATCCCAGCATGGTTCGGTGATGTTCATCTTTACCACTTTGTACAATATAAAGATGGTAATTGCACCAAGTTATTCCATTTTACTGATAGCAAAACGAAGATAATGTTAGAAGCTAATATAATTAGGTAGTGCATTCAGTCATAAACAACATGGGACAAGTTTGCAGTAAACTAAACTCTGATAATATCACCACATTGGCGGGGGGCTGTCTTATAGTTCATATAATTTTACCAGTGATATCAAGAACTATATGTAGATAACATAGCAATAAAAAGACGAATGTAGTGTAATAATAAGATTTGAAGTGATGAGAGATTTTAGAACCTCTAGGTTCTCTAACACAACCGAGTAGATTGGGATGCGTTACGTATAACTTTCCCATATCCTAATGTAGATTTTGCTGCTCGGTTTACTCACGAGAATTTTTAAGAATAGGTTTTTATCAAGTCGGATGATTTTATTTACTGTTGAAGTGATTCCCATCACGAGATGATATTGGTCCGGGGGCTAGACAATCAAATGGGAATCGTGCGTACCATAGGTTTACTAAAGTTTAAAATATGAACTCCTGGATCTTGACTCTGGACTGAAGGTGTTGTCAAACTTCACCAATAAACTTACTGATCTTCATTTTGATATCATATAAAGCTTGTGAGTGTTTACTGCTTAGTCAGAAAATATAATGTAATGGTCTTCCGGTGTTCCCTGAGCTTTTATTAGTATTACAACTGATCTCATTTCGTTGTTCAATATCATCTACAGAAGTGGGTTGATTTGACGTTGCTTTCTTCACCTGATAAAACGTGACCATTTAATTATTAACTAGTGGTTTCCGTAATATTTGTACTGCTCTTTCCAAAACTGACTTTTCATAGCTAAGAAAATCAAAAGAGCCTTTCTTCCAAGTTTAGTTTCATGAGAAGATTAAATTATCGGGTAGTTTTTATCATTAGTGAAGTGAATAAATGAATTCCTTACATTCAGAGTTAGGGGCAGTTAAGCTTTGTAGTTGTATAATTCGTCCCAACAACTAAGATATAAGCTCGAAAACAAAATATGGGATTCGCTAAACGTAAGTTTAGTGAAATAAATTAAACTTCTCAGATTGATATCATGAGTCAGTTGGAGCTAGACCACCATGAAAAACCTAGACGGCCGTTTCGTCCTAGTATGGGACTCCTCAGCACTGTTCGACCACGATACCGCACCCCGCGGGATTCGAACCCAGGACCTACTGGTTTTGCGCGCGAGCATTTAACCATTAGACCACCGAGCCGGCACCCAACGGTGTTAATGTCTAACTTCAACTAATCCACGAAGTTGCGCCACCATTGTCTTCAGTGAGCTGATATTTCACAACAGACCTGGTTGAACTCCACTAGTAACGGCTTCCCACTAGAACTCCAGGAGTATCTCTTGAAGTCAGTCACTAGTGAGCAGATGATTATTATCTGAAGGGGTTTGTGGAGATTTTAGAAATTTCACAGATTGAAATCATGAGTCAGTTGAAGCTAGAACTTCATGGAGAACCTGGAAGCACTGGACGGCTCACTGAAGACAATGGTGTGCGGTGGAGCAACTTTGTGGATTAGTTGAAGTTAGACATTAACACCGTTGGGTGCCGGCTCGGTGGTCTAATGGTTAAATGCTCGCGCGCAAAACCAGTAGGTCCTGGGTTCGAATCCCACGAGGTGCGGTATCGTGGTCGAACACTGCTGAGGAGTCTCATACTAGGACGAAACGGCCGTCCAGGTTTTGCATGGTGGTCTAGCTTCAATTGACTTAAAGTTTCAATCTGTGAAATTTCTAAAATCTCCACAAACCCCTTCTGAAAATAAAATAAACGTCTAAAATCCAAAAACCTCGGATTGTCCAGTTGCTAGTTTCGTTACTCAGAGATAAATATTGTTCTGTACAGTATATGAAACGTAGAATTAGTTAAATATAGCTTACACTACTGGTTCAGTGAGTACCGCGACAAAAAATAAGCAAATGTAAATTGTCTATAAATAACACGGTATGTTAGGTGAAACAGTTTATTAGGATATTTAAAGTAATTATTCAACCGAGTGTTCGTTTGTTTTACAGTTTGTAAAATATGTGAGACATTCTGAAGCATCGATTTAAAAAGAAATTTAAGCTGATTTGAAGCAGTAAATTTATTTAAAAGGGCAAACGGTTTAAGATTATGTTGGTAGATTATTGAGTAAGATGTGGCGATTGTGACAGTGGTAGGAAGTAACTCAAGTAAATAGTTTGACAAACATTCAGTATTAACGCTGATCTTTTTAATTTTAATGAACACTACAGGCTGAAGGCGTTTTGCCAAGCATCATCACTAAGTCACGCCACGACGCTATATGGGATGCTTATCCTCATCAATTTAGTCAGTTTGGAAGTCACACGTTTCTCTGTCAATCCTTGCGATCAGATGCCTTTTTCCTTTTAACAACCACTGATTTCTTTTTTCATCGATGGCTAAAAATAGTGGGTCAAGCTTTGTCAAACTTTTTCACAGCGAATATGGTGGAAAAGGCTTCTTTTTCTATCTGACCGTAGTTCCTTTCTGTCGTAATCAGCTTTCATACAGCTTGGGTGATTGCCTTCTCAGATCCGTCAGGGTAATTATGGGAAATCATTGCTCCGATTCCGTAATTTGACGCATTTGCTGCGACCGAAATTCGATCTGGATTATAGTGTTTAAGCAGAAAGTTTGGTGATAGGAGCCGTTTTAGGAATGTTTCTTGACATTCTGTTGAACAGACCCATTTGTTATACTTTTTCAGCAACCAATTCAGAGTGGCACGGAGGCGATGCAAATCTTGAAGAAAAACACCATAATACTTAACCATTCCCAAGAAAGATCGTAAAGTTTATACATCTGTCGGAGGAGGCATGGTTTTGACAGCCTCAGTGTTTTCTGGATCAAGTTTTCTACCGTTTTTGTCGATTATGAATCCCAAATAGCGGACTTTCTCCACGTGGAAATCACATTTTTCGGCGAGTAATCCGAAACCACAATTTGCTACGCATCTGAGAACCATATCCACCTTCACCATAGCTCGTACCTATGATTAGTATATCATCAAGATAAGCCGCAGTAACAGGAATAACTTGAGGTATAGTGTTCATAGCTTGTTGGAAGACTGAAGGAACGATTGTTACTCCGAAAGGGAATCGGTTACACTGGAATAAACCTTTATACATGTTTACTGACAGGTAAGGTTTGTACTCTTCGGCTACTGGAATCTGTAGATAAGCTTCTGATAGATCCATTTTGCAAAATACTTCCTCTTATTCAGTTTCGCAAATAAGTTCTGGTAACTGCAAACAGTACTGATGAGCTTCAAGTGCTTTGTTTAATGCAGTCAAATAATCTGCACATAGCCGGATACTTCCACTAGGCTTCTTAATCATTGGTGCTGTCCAGTCAGAAACATTCACTGGTTCTATTATTCCACATCTTTGCAGACGCTCTAATTCTTGTTCAAGAATCGGTAGCGCTGCATAGGGTGCCGGACGTCTTGGTCTAAATACGGAGGCGACTCCCGGTTTAAGAATTAGTGGTGCTTTTACCTTTTTGCGCCCCCCCCCCTATTTCTTCCATAAACACTTGACTCTGTCTTTCCGACACAGCATCCTTGAGATTTTTTCGCTGGTTTACTGGTTCTCACGGAGCCGCATATGTGGTTAATGGAGTGATTTGCTAATTGTAGTGTTTCTGTTAGGTCTAGACCCAGCAAATCTAGTCCCAGATTCTCTGTGAGATTTAGTGTTGCATTTATTTTTGCATTTCCTTTTGAAACTGTACATCATTTCTCTCCAACAATATTAAATTTCGCTCCGAATGCACTATCAGTTAGCTGGGTTGTTGGCAGCATCTGGGGTTTCCTAATATGTTTCCAGGTTTTTCGGCTAATAACTGTGGTGTCGAGATGCAGGTGGGCACGGTGACCGTCAACCTCGATAGTTGCATATTTTCGTCGACTATGGCTTGATCGCGTATGTACTACCACTCTAAAGAGCTTCAACATTTCCTTGAACTCCCGCCCACCAATGAGGCACTTTCTTACGGATCGCCTAGTATCTAGACAGAACAAGAATATAACAAGCCCGACTGCTATTATTATGAATATAACCAAATCACAGAATACATGGCTTATCCTTTCCTATTATTCATTGTTTATTAATCATGGCCTTATGCTCCTAACCCTCACTTCCAGTTCCCAAATCTCTACAGGTTAAATGTACACTATTCTTCCTAATAGTCATGCTTTTTTTTCTATTGCAAGTAGACAGATAACTCACTAATCTTATGGATGCCGATCTACTAAGGCCGACCATACAACGCTCAAAATTCGGCCACAAAGTCTTGTGAGTTTCTCAATGTTCTATTTTTCTTACCCTGAAATTTTTTTCTACAATTTTATGCCCTCTCATATTTTTTGATTTGCTATTAGTCCTTACTTCTTTAAACCATTAGTTATCTTCATAGCAGTGTGATATACTATGTGGACATCTAACCCATAAAACAAACATTTTAACTATCTGATTTGCTTGTAACATGGACCTGGTAGAGACAGTGTATTCCAACCATGGGCTTTGATTAAAGCAGTATTCATACTTACCACAAACGTAAGAGCCCAACATCACAAAACGAAGGATGGTGGCGTTACTGACCAGCAAACATGATGGTGGGGAGATAACTTCAATCCACCCATGTTTGTAGGGCAGAACAATTTGTTTAATTACGGCTCCTTATGGTTTAGTGGGATGTCACGAACATAAGGTTTTAATGCTGATTTACCATGCAAAATACCTCATTAAATCGTGTTACGAACGTTGAATTGGTTTCACTTTCTACCCAGTAATCCTATTACAAGCAAACTAGACAATTCACTGATATACGAAGCCTAATCAAGACCCTATATGGTACCTGACAAAAATAATACAAAAAAATGAAAGGGGCTCTGATGGCTTCGATAGAAAAGGAAGATAGCCAATTGTATATCACAACACTGTTTCTAGCACTATATTTTAATTCATAACCACACAATTCCATATCCAGCTACTTTCTGAATCGCCCCGATTTGTCAGTTGTATGTCCACTCATGCCCTGTTAACACCTATCTTCTTTAACCTATTAAAATACTTTTTCTTAACAAATACCTTAATAAAATAAAATTAGACTGAGTGATCATACCTTAAACATTCCTTCATGAATATTGGCTACTCTGCCTCTCGAGTTTTCTTTTACTTGCTCCCTCTTTCAGCCCCCTTGTGATATAGAACGAAAGATTTTATCCTGCATCATCCTCAAAGCCTTAGATATTCCAAAGGGACATAAGGTTGCGACTTTTATAAGCTCCCACCTTCAATGGACCTATCAGTTGCACATTCGCAACGCAACTTTCATGACGCGCGCCTACTGTTCAAATGGTTCAAATGGTTGTGGACGGAATAGAAGAAGCTTTCGCTTAACAGGCTTCCGTGTCTAGTAGCAGGGGATCACCAAATCCTCCAGGCAGGAACCTAGGTATGTTAACAATAAAAGAGGAAAAGAAATTGGTAAATCATAGTGCGATGATGTCCTTGGTCCTTAAGAATAGGTCAAGTTGCCTCTTGAAGGACTCCTGAGAAGTCGCTTGGACTAGCTCGGCCGGCAGCGAGTTCCAGCTTTTGACAACTCTTAAGGAGTAGAAGTTGTGTCTACATTCCGTCTTGCTATGTTGTGTTTCCAGTTTCTGGGTGTTACCCCTTAGGTTATTGTTCGAACTAAGCTTAAGTAGGTGTTTAAGAGGATGTCCAGAAGTGTTAAGAATACTATAAGCCATTAATAAATCACCTCTAAGACGCCTATATTCTAGTGGGTAAAGGTCTAGTGAACGAAGGCGTTCTTCGTAAGGCTTAGATTTGAGTCCTCGAACTGATTTCGTGGCTCGCCGTTGGATACGCTCCAAAGTGACCTTATCCTTTTGGAGTGAGGGGGGGAGTACTATGTTTCCGTACTCTAAATGGGGACGGATGAAACTATTGAAGATTGTGTGGAAAGTTCTTCCGTCAAACTGACCAAAAATGCGCCTCAACGTTACCAGTGCAAGGTTTGCTCGGAAGGCATTTTTGTCACAGTTAGCGTAAGACTTTAAGTCATGGGGCACCAGGACTCCTAAATCTTTTTCGACTTGGGATACTACTAGAGAGGTGTTTCCTAAGTTGTAACTGTAGTTTGCGACATGTCGCAGATGGACTACTTTACACTTAGAAGTGTTAAAGGTAAGTCCGTTATCGTCTGCCCAACTTTGAAGTCGAGTCAGATCATCTTGAAGTGCCTGTATATCGTCTTGGTTGCGTATCTCTCTCCAAAGTTTCACGTCGTCGGCAAAAAGTAATAAGTCTGACGTTACCTGTTGAGGAAGATCATTTATGTAGATCAAGAAGAGAAGAGGCCCTAGTACTGAGCCCTGGGGGACCCCACTAGGACATTCCATAGCTTGAGATAAAGTGAAATTGACCCTAACCTTAAAGTGCCGATTTTTTAGGTATGAAGTAAGCCAGTCGATTAGAGGTGGTTTGATACCTAGTCGTTTGAGCTTGTTGATAAGACACAAGTGGTTAACCTTATCAAAAGCTTTTGAGAAATCAAGGTAAATGACATCAACCTTTCCCTTGCGATCGAGGATGCTTGTCCATCTGTCCACCGCAGTCAGCAGGTTGGTTATACAAGAGTAGCCCTTCCTGAAACCATGCTGTTGGGGTGAGAAGAAATTTAAGGACAGTAGGTAGTCATTTAAACCGTCGCATATCAGGGACTCCATGAGTTTTGAAGGTAACGACAGAAGAGCTACCGGCCGGTAACTTGAAGGTTCATTGCGTCGACCACCTTTGAAAATTGGTGTGATGTGAGCCAACTTCCAATTTTCCGGTAGTTTGCCTCGGCTAAGCGAGTGTGAAAACATCACGCTAAGCGGCGTTGCCAGGATTGAGGCTGCCTCCCTCAGTATGGCAGGATGAACCATGTCCGGGCCAGGAGAAGTGTCAAGTCTTAAGTGCTGCAGTTTCCGGAACACCAAGTCAGCGCTTAGGTCCACTTCAGAAAGTCCTGTGGAATTGCAGATGAAACTGTCGTCAATAAAGTTGATATCAGCCGGTTGAAATGTTTGAGAATAATGGGCCGCCAGAAGGTTAGCGGCGTCGCCATCGTTGTTGGTCGGGCCGTTAGGACCTAGCAGTTGAGAAACTCCTGTTTTGGCTTGACGAAGAGAGGCTGCATAACGGAATAGGCTTCTAGGGTTAGAGGCGAATTTGTCCATAAGCTTTGTTTGGTACTGAAGCCTGTCTTCTCTTATAGCCTTCGTGCATGTGTTCCTGATATGTTTGTATTGCCTATACGCTCCATCGTTATTAGTTCGTTTGTATTCCGCCCAACAGTGCCGTTTGCGGCTTAGGAGGCGAAGGGTACGGTTCTTGATTACTGTAGGTGGCTTGAAGCTTTTGGGAACCGTTTGAGGAACTGAATGGTCTGTAGCACATAAGAGCGTGTGCAGCAAGAAGTCCCAATGACCATCCACATCGATTTGAGGGTGAACATCCCAAGCCACCTGTTGTAGATGGTCATGTAGAGCTCGCACATTCAGCCGTTTAAAATTCCATCGCAAATTATTGTTGGGATACCTTAGCTTAGTTTTGATGACAAAACTGAAGGCTATGACGGCATGATCGCTTTTTCCCAGAGGAGCCAGGATTGAGAGGTTGTCGACTAGGAATTCTTCGTTAGTGAATACACAGTCTAAGCGCGATGGTGTCTGACTGTTTCTCCAACGAGTTGCCGACCTCACATTTTCATATAAGCCCAAGTTATCGATGAGGTTGAAGAACCGAGCTTCAGTTGAGTTGTCGCCTCCAGTGTACGTGTGTTCCGCGAAGTTGACTCTAGGGAGATTAAAGTCCCCTAGAATCAGGATGTGTGTGAAACCGAGACGGATAGAGCGGGATAGTCCTTCCAGCATACGACTATCGTACTCGGTGTCGGCAGTTGGCTTCCTATAAATGACTCCGACTAGACACCTGGAAGTACTAGACAACCTTACAGAGCACCATATGGATTCCTCAAGATTGTTAAACTCGAGGTTGTGAACCTTGTGCACCTCCAAGCAAGAGCTTATGTATATGGCTACTCCGCCCCCAATTCCTATTTTTCTGTCGTTGCGGAACAAAGTCATCCCAGGCAATGCTAACTCTTGATCCGAGAACTGAGAAGATATCCAGGTTTCAGATATTCCTATCAGATGGGCCTTGTTAGCGTTGCTAAGTTCACGTAGTTCATCCAGTTTGTTTGGTAAACTCGCGGCGTTCATATATAAGCAGTTTATGCTTTCAATTTGGAACGCATGAGCTTCGTCCTGTTTTTCTGTATGAACCTTATGTGAATGGACAGGTAGCCCACCTATATGAGGTTTGCCGAGGTGGTAGGCCCTGTCCTTTACACGTTTTTTTATCGTTTAGACAGTCCACAAGTGGAATGGTCAGCTCCAGCTTGCCTTTGTTCTTGGTCCTGACTTCGTATGGCCTATCCGGGTGCATGTGGATTCCAGGTGGCAATCGACGTCTATTAGCACGAAATGCTTCCAGAACTGCAGCCGCCATGTGGGAAGATGGGAAGGTTATCTTCATTAGGCGGGGTCTAAGATCACCGTCCTTCTTGGCTAGTCTCATCACATGCTGAGTCAGTATGTGTTTGAGCCTCAAGGACTGTTTGATGAATTTCCATTCCCTGATGTCAGAATTTGAGTGAGTAGGGTCTGCATTTTCCGGTATACCTTGGACAATTATGTTTCGTCCGCGGAAGAACTTCTCGCGAGATTCTTTAGGGACGTTACGTATGATATTGCGCTCAGAGTACGGTATGTCGGGCAATATTCTTACGTTACCATCTGATTTCAGTAAGTGACTTGCTAGCAAGACGTCCTCTACGTCGGTAGCATTCTTAAGTGTTACTCGAAGAAGCCTTGGGTGATTTAGATGCTTAGAATCCTTTCCTCGAGTGAGCCGGGTGACCGTCAAAGGCTCTATTCTAGGAAGTTCGAGCTTTTTGTTCAATTCACCCCACAGCATCCTGTCGTTTTTATCCTGCAGACTGAGAGGAAGGTCAGGATTGTCGACGAGGTTCATGATAATGAGAGAATCATCACGAACTGTTGTTAATTTACCAGGTTTCACGATGGGTTCAGGTTTAATAACTTGTTTTTTGGAGGTCAGTGTGAGTTTATGAATCTTGGGTTCTTTATTGACCGGACGAACAGTCTTGGGGGTAGACTGTGCGACTAAATCACCAGTTATTTTCCGTGAAGCAACACTTGGGTTGCTCGACTTAGGCGGTGATGCCTGGTTCTTTTGGGCTCTCTTAACGTGGGTCGAATCGCCCGCAGGGTTTTTGGGAACCACTGTTGTGTTCAGCGACCCTGAGCTGGGGGACCCGAGTTTGCCTAGGGAGTCTAGTACCGTCGACGTAATGATGGTACTGAGCCTCGACACGTCGTCGTTAGTGTTGATGGATGCTCCATCGATGACATACCTATCGACATCCCTATTTTTGAGTCCGTTGCGCGCTCTTGTTTGTATATCAGTTTTTTTACTGTCGTATTCCAAGTTAACTGACAGCTTGTTTCGAAGACCTGTCAGTAGGACAATGATGTTACTCAGCAAGACTACTGCGTCCGTGTTGCACGTGACACATACCCACTTTTGGTCTGACTTGCTGAGTTTGTTGTAAGCAGTTGCTGTCAGATTTGTGCATGCTTCGTGAAACCAACCTTTGCAGTTGTCACACTGCATGCCAGTTGTGACAGCAAAACGGCATCCCGGACGTTTGCATGAGTTTTTCATGACGGTGTTGAAGCAAACAATGTTATAGATGCTGGCAAAAGCTTAAGACCTTTTAAAAAAACAATAAAATGCACACTGAAAACGGACAAAAACGGACAAAACGAGTGATATAAACTGAAACTAGTCAATACGTGAAAAACAAAAAAAACCGAATAGTAAGCTGAGGCAAAACCACAGGTAACTATTGAATATAGTGAAACTCAAAAAAAAGTAATCTACCGAACGTATAGCTCAGGATAGATTTTTTAGAACTGAAATGGTACTTTTGTTGCGTAAGAACACAGCAAAAGTTTGATATATGCAATTCACGTTAGGACTAAACTTCCCGTTCGAATATCGCGCGCGTGATACTGACTAAAACCATCTACATTCATATCTTATATATTATCAACCCAGCTAAGAAATTTACTACAGTGGATATTCTATCATTTGTAACAATTTGATCTTGCCTGTAAACTGGCATGCCTCATGTAGCAAACTGTTATTTGAGAATAAATTATTATTATTATTTTGGTCGATACATTAGGTTTATCTCTCCTGGAAGGAAATC